TTCGTGACCCCATGGACCAGAGCACGCCAGGCACTCCTGTCTTCCACTGCCTCCCGCAGTTTGGTCAAATTCATGCTGGTAGCTTCGAGAACACTGTCCCACCATCTCATCCTCTGTCGTCCCCTTCTCCTTGTGCCCTCCATCTTTCCCAACATCAGGGTCTTTTCCAGGGAGTCTTCTCTTCTCATGAGGTGGCCAAAGTCTTGGAGCCTCAGCTTCAGGATCTGTCCTTCCAGTGAGCACTCAGGGCTGATTTCCTTAAGAATGGATAGGTTTGATCTTCTTGCAGTCCATGGGACTCTCAAGAGTCTCCTCCAGCTCCATAATTCAAAAGCATCAATTCTTCGGCGATCAGCCTTCTTTATGGTCCAGCTCTCACTTTATGGTCCAGCTCTCACTTTCATACATCACTACTGGGAACTATCCCTTTATCTGTCTGTATCGCTTTGCAAATATCCAAATAACCAGCTTTATATTTTCTTCTTGTGATTGTGACACCCCATTGACCAGCCTTTGTTTGGTTCAGCCAAGTTATTATGTGACTTGTCTCATGAAGTTCTATTTTGTTATTTGGATCAGAGGGATAAATTTCAATAAAAATAGTTTTTAGAAAACAAAAATACTCCTGGTGTGATGCCATGGCGGCAAATCTCCCTTCTTGTGAAGCTCAAAGGGACACATATAAAGAACATTGTGAAAATGCTTTTTTTAAAAAAAGTTTTGAAAAATATATTGAATTTTGCATAGCTCACTTTCGCCATCTCGTGTCACATTTGTATAATGCACTTCACAACGCAGTTAAACGTTTCATTTGCAGCTGTATAGCTGAGTCCATGATCTGGTGACTGTAGAGGTGCTTGGATGGTGTGGGGAGAGGGGAGATTTTTACTTTCCAAAAATATGTATAATAGGCAGAAATGCATATTTTATTATGCCTTTATTTACAACATTTTTCTCCAAGGAGCTCAGAGTGGCATACATGGTTCCTCTCTCCCTGCTCATTTAATCCACAACAACCCTGTGAGGTGGGCTATGCTGAGAGGCAGTGATTGGCTCCCAATCTTCCTGGCTGAGTGGGGAGTTGAACCCTGGTCTCCTGGGGTCAGCACAGACAGTACTGAGCTTGATTGGCCCAAGGCCCATCTGAATCAGTATCAAATTGCCTCCTGTGCCTCTGGAAGGTAGGACTCAAACCCATGGCTTCAAGCTCCAAGAAAGGAGATTCCGACTAAGCATCAGGAAAAAGAGAGTCAGAGCTGGTCTGCTTTGGCAGGTTGTGGACTCTCCTTCCTTGGGGGTTTTCAAGCAGAGCTTGGATGGCCGCCTGTCATTGATGCTTTAGCTGAGTTTCCTACATTGCAGGGGGTTGGACTAGATGACCACCGGGATCCCTTCCATCTGTACCATTTTACAATTCTATGACCACTGCCGATGATGGCTCCTAGCCTAGGGTTAACAGACGTTCCCGTTTCCCGGGGACAGTCCCCATATTTGCCAATAAGTCCCTGGGCAAATTCCATCCCCGGAATGTCCCCGGATTTCATCTAATGTCCCCAGGAAACTCAGCAGCGGCAGTCTCAGCAGCCTGGAGCAGTTGGCTCTGGCTGGCTTCAGGAGCTGCTCAGAAGTCCCCATATGATGGTGGTGCAGGGGCTCAAAGATGCAGCTTCCGGGCTGCCTCCACCTTCCCTGAACCCAGCAACTAAGCTGTGAAGGGAGGCTTCATGCTGCCTATTGGAGCAGCCTCCCAACTCCTACTTGTGTGGAAGCAGGAGCGGGGCAGAGATCTCTCAGTTAGGCAATGGGAAGCCTCCCTTCCCAGCTGAGGGATGCCCGCCCCCTCCTGCTTGCACGCAAGTAGGAATGGCTGCCACCGTTCTCGGCCCTCCTTCTCCGCCTTCCATGCCTGACGCACCATGCACCGCTTCCCCACCACCACCACCGAAGAACCAACAACTCAGGGGCCACCCAGGCTCATGGAGAAAGGAGATAGAAGTCTCAGAGGAAGGGGAAACGTGGGGGTTGAGGTCAAGGTGGCGGCCGCCCCTCTGCCACCACCATTGCTGCAGCATCAACATCCCAAATGTGTAGTATTCATTCATTCATTCATTCATTTAAAGTGTCCCCAGATTCATTGAAAAAAATCTGGTAACCTTATCCTAGCCGCGATGGCTCTGCTCTGCCCTCCGAAATCAGAAGCAGCAATGTTCCTCAACACCAGGGGTCAGCAAAATTACCACGCCTCGGGCCAGTGTCTCCAGCGCCGATCGTGCGGCGGGCCAGAGGGTAGGGGAGCATGTGCCCATATGCCTGCGCACACACTATTTCTGGTGCACTTCTGGGTCAGAGAAGCACCGGAAATAGCTTGTGCACATGTGCACGGGCCTCCTCCAACGTGGATGTGCACCAGAAATAACGCTTGCACATGCGCATAAGCTATTTCCGGTGCGCCTATGACCCGGAAGTGGGCAGCCGCTCAGTGCAGTGCTGGTAAGAGTGGGTGGCGGCAGCAGGTGTCGCCGCGGGCCAGATAAATGAGTCCCTCGGGCCTTATCCGGCCCGCAGGCCTTAGTCTAGGGACGACGCCACTTGCTGGAAACCACAGAAGTTGTGCTCAGATCCTGCACCCTGCTTTCCAGCAGGCATCCGTTGGGCCGCTGTGAAAAGAGATTGCTGAGCTTCAACGGGCCCCTGGCCTGATCCAGCGGCCTCTTCTTATGCTCTTATGGTGCCACGTAAACAATTTTATGTGCATCCTCTCCCCCAGCCCCCAGCCGCCATCCCTCCCCTCCCTCCGCCTTTAAAATTAAAATAGGGAGGGAGAAAGAGAGAGAGAGAGGGAGAGGGAGAGGGAGAGAGAGAGAGAGAGAGAGAGAGAGAGAGAGAGAGAGAGAGAGGGAGAGGGAGAGAGAGAGAGAGAGAGAGAGAGAGAGAGAGAGAGGTCCCTCTGGATACACGGCGACTCCAGAGCATAAAGATTAACAGTCCTTTAATAATGCTGCAAATCCCAGGCAAGGAGGGAATGCCTCTTTCACACTATTAATATTTCTCCATTCCGCTGCACTATTCCAGATGGCTCTCAGCTTTAATGCCCCCTCCATCCTGCACATGAATCTGCTACTGCAATATCTGTTTCCCCATGGTACAGAGCAGAGCAGGGACAGGAAGTGTGTGGCGGGGAGGGCACACCCACAAACAATTTCCTTCTCCTCCCAACTTGCTGAATTTTCAGGGATTTACTCCGAAATGATTCGCTTTTTCAGGAATTCTGAGCAGGCTTTGCTCGCCATCAGCAATGGTGGCACCCGATTGGCTGCGTCGTGCTGCGACATCACCACGTTTGCTCTGCGATCCCCGATTGGGACGTTGTAGGAGGGGAGAGAAGCCATATCACAGCGGACCGGCAACAAACGTTTTGGGCAGAGCGGCAAACTGGCTGCAGGAACAACTGAGAAGAGGGTTGACGCTCCTCAGCGTTGTCATAAAGCCAAATAAGAGTGAGGGCAGGAGCTGAAAAACGGGTTTCCTGACATCACTCTGGCAGCTTCTGCGTAAGAACAAGATGCTCAGCTAGACAAGCCTTTGGCCTGATCCAGCAGGGCTCATCTTAACATAGAATCATAGAATTATAGAGTCGGAAGGGACCCAGTGGGTCATCAATTTAATGTAATGACATTTTAATGTATTTTTCATCTTTGTTGGAAGGCGCCCAGAGTGGCTGGGGAAACCCACCCAGATGGGTGGGGTACAAATATATTATTATTATTATTATTATTATTATTATTATTATTATTATCAATCCCCCTGCAATCAGCGGCATAGCTAGCCACTTGGGTACCTGGTGCAGGGGCGTGTCCTGCAGCCAGGGGCGGAGCAATCTGCCCATGGGGGCGGGGCGAGTCTCCAATGCTTAGAGCCTCTCCACCGCCTCCACCTCAGCTGTAGGGCAGCTGAAGGAGAGGTAGTAGGCAGACGCAAGTCCCACGTTGCCGTTTCAGGCAGCGCGGAACCTGCGGGCACCTAAGCCACCGCATCATTCCTAAAAAGTTTCGTGAGCCAATTTTCTAAAAAGCAAACTCCTTTTGTCACCCCCCTCAGTGATGACACCCAGGGCGACCCACACACCCCGCACCTCCACCACTACCTGCAATGCAGGAGTATGCAGCTGTCCTATCCGAGGATCGAACTTACAACCTTGGCATTATCAGCACCAGGCTCTAACCAACTGAGCTATCCAGACTGACATGTCCTTATGTAGACAGGAGATCCATTCCACATGGCATCAAAACAGGCAGCACCTCTCCTTTGGAACTTCCCCTTGTTCTGTGTTCTGATGTAGTCATACTTGTGTCCGGAACTTCCTGTGATTTCATGTGATATTTTTTGGTGCAGGAACTCAGGGCGGGGAGGGAGGAGGAAGGAGTTCTGCTCTTCAGCCTCAGAATCCTCCCCCAGAAATCCCAAAGTGGAGGCAAACTGGATCACCGAGATGCCAAGGAAATGTCAGCCCATCACTTTCTCCTCTCGTTCTCTTTCTCTCTCTCTCCCACCCCTCCTATTACGGATCTCTCCCCTCCTGATCGCTTTTCATCAAGCTGTCAGCGAGTGACAAAATGCATTTACACACTCATGCAGATGCACACTCACCAGAAGGGATAGGAAGGAAGAGGGGGAGAAACCACCCGAGTCTAGTTTTCATCTTCCACATTTGGAAGATTATTCATCGCAAGCTGTTAGACGCTCCTGACTCACATGAGCTACGGATGTTCCAGTTATGTCAAGGCTGGGGAACGGAGTGCGGCCCTCTAGTCCTTACTAGCTGGCCCCTGAGACTCTCTCTGCTCCACATCCCTCCTTAGCTCTCCTTGAGTACCTTCCCCTGTCTGGCCTTATCCTCCCCATAAGATAAATATAAAAAGCTACTTCATAGTGAATCAGGTCAAGGCCCCATCTAAGTCCTGGACTCCCTCTCCTCGGACTGACAGCAGTTCTCTGGGGTCTCAGGCCTTGAGCTCTTCTTCCCCATTGCATCCTGTGTTTGAATCTAGGCCCTTCTGCAAGCCAGGCAGGTTCTCTGCAGCAGAACTCTCCTCGAACTCTGAGCAAGCGTCTTGTTTGCCTGGGTGGAGGAAAGAGACAGGGGAAATGAGTGTAGAAACTGGAAACTAGAGGCAGTGCGGTGTAGTGGTTAGAGAGCCAGACTACGCCTACCTCACAGGATTGTTGTGGGGATGAGATGAGGAAGGGGCAGAACCATATACGTTTAGCTCCTTGAAGAAAGGGGTGGGATAAAAATGCAAAAGATTAAGCCTTCCTTTTAGGTGCCAGAATCCCAAGGGAGCAGAAAAAATTACAGTGGTACCTCGGGTTAAATATTTAATTCATTCTGGAGGTCCGTTCTTAACCTGAAGCTGTTCTTAACCTGAAGCACCACTTTAGCTAATGGGGCCTCCCGCTGCCGCCGCGGAGCACGATTTCTGTTCTCATCCTGAAGCAAAGTTCTTAACCCGAGGTATTATTTCTGGGTTAGTGGAGTCTGTAACCTGAAGCATCTGTAACCCGAGGTACCACTGTACACTGTACAGTGGTACCTTGGTTTAAGAATAGCTTAGTTTCTGAACAACTTGGATTAAGAACACTGCAAACCCGGAAGTAGGTGTTTTGGTTTGTGAACTTCACTTTGGAAGCAGAACATGTTCCGCTTCCTGTTGAGTGTGTTATGTTTGCAAATTGACTCCCCCGCTGCTATGGGAAAGCACGCCTTGGTTTAAGAACGCTTTGGTTTAAGAACAGACTTCCGGAACGGATTAAGTTTGTAAATCAAGCTATCACTGTATTTATGTATGCAACCACGGCTGCGTGGATGTTATTGGCCCAGAGAAGGTCGCCAGGAAGCAAGTGTGGCCCTCTCTCTCACCACCCTTGCTCTCTAAGGTCTTTTCGAATCAGTCCCTGCTTTGCCACTGAAATGGGATGGGCTCACCATCTCTGTCTCCCGGCCCCCCGGGCCTCTGAGCATGCCAAGAGTGTAAAATGCCGAATGACATTTCTAGGAGCGCTTCTCCACAGCCTCTGACACCTTTGTCACATGGTCAACCGGCATTAGCCCTGCCACATAAATGAGGGGTTCCTGTGGCTCACACACACCCCCCCCCCCGCAGCCCATGCCCCAGATCCCCCGAAAAGGAATCTGGCACAGCATCCTCCTGGCCAGCCAGGTTAAGGGCATCCCAATTCCCCCCCCCCCCGGCGAGAATTGCTCTTAATGAATAATGTATCTGACCACCTTTCCCTTGAGCGCAGGAGTTATCTGGCCTGCGTCTCCGTACGTGCGCACACAGCCCCCCTTCCGCAGCGCTGATATCTCCCTTTTCCCAGGGTTCCTTTAGCAGCATGGGTATCTCGTCGCCCAGGATCTCTGTCCGCATGCTAAGCAGAGGGAGAGGATTGCACCATCATCAATCAGAGGCCAGAAGGACGACAGACCTCGCTGCTTTCGAAAAGGAGTTGCGGAGATCCAATCAGATCTTTGGCCGAGAGCGGGGAAATAAAACTCCAGGCTAAAGGGAGAGGCTTTCCTGCACCCACCCCCCTGATCTTGCTGACAGGGTGGGGGCACAGGGGGTGGCAGGGAACAAATGAGACCACTTAAATAGTAATTAAGTCCTAATGGCCTGCACAGATAGGTCTCCACCGGCTTGGAAATGTGCGATGCTGGGAATTAGATGAGGATATTCACAAGTGCGCCGGCAACATGATTAAAACAGCATTAACCCCGTTATGATTACAGCTTAAAAAAATAAAAATCTATGTTTGTTATGTTGAAATAGATATAGCACAATTTTCTCGCCCTTTCTCTAGCTCAAGGCTTTCTCTAGCTGTCTGCCACTGTTAAGAGTTTAAGAATGGTCTGCCGGACCAGGCCAGTGGCCCACCGAGTGGTGGAAGAACGACAAGGAAAGAGTCAGTCTGGCTTCTCCAGGGAGGGAGATCCAAAGTTGTCTGGGAGCAGCCACCAAGAAGACCCTCTCCTGTGTCCCCACCAAGTGTGTGGGTGGTGGGACCTAGAGATGGGCCTCCTCAGAAGATCTTGGAGCCCAGAAAGAAAGAAAGAAAGAAAGAAAGAAAGAAAGAAAGAAAGAAAGAAAGAAAGAAAGGAAGAAGGAAGGAAGGAAGGAAGGAAGGAAGGAAGGAAGGAAGGAAGGAAGGAAGGAAGGAAGGAAGAAAGAAAGAAAGAAAGAAAGAAAGAAAGAAAGAAAGAAAGAAAGGAAGGCAGGCCATTGTATCAGCATACAAGAGCTCCCGATATTCTCCTCTATTTGATAGATTCCCCACTTTTTCCTTCTTTCATCTGAATCTCCTTCTGAAGGAAGGTGACAGATTCCATGTATGTGTGTTTTTTCCTTAATTTTTCATGGCATCCTTGATTTTTTAAAAAACAAAAAGGACCCCTGGGTGGTTAAGTCCAGTCAAAGGCGACTATGGGGTTGCAACGCCCATCTCGCTTTCAGGCCCAGGGAGCCAGCGTTTGTCCACAGACAGCTTTTTGGGTCATGTGGCCAGCATGACTAAACCACATCCGGCACGATGAGAAAAGAAGATTGTGAGCCGCTTTGAGACAAGAAGAAGAAGAAGAAGAAGAAGAAGAAGAAGAAGAAGAAGAAGAAGAAGAAGAAGAAGAAGAAGAAGAGTAGTTTGGATTTGATATCCTGCTTTATCACTACCCGAAGGAGTCTCAAAGCGGCTCACATTCTCCTTTCCCTTCCTCCCCCACAACAAACACTCTGTGAGGTGAGTGGGGCTGAGAGACTTCAGAGAAGTGTGACTGGCCCAAGGTCACCCAGCAGCTGCATGTGGAGGAGCGGAGACGCGAACCCGGTTCCCCAGATTACGTGACTACCGCTCTTAACCACTATACCACACTGGCTCTAATTTATTTATATCCCACCCTCCACAGCCAAAACTGGGCTCAGAGCGGCTAACAACAATAAAAGTAACACAGCTTTCTAAAATCAATATTCTAAAATCAATTCAAAATCAAATTAATGGCAACCACTGGGCCAGAGTTCTACGAGGATCACCAAAGGAGGGGGTCAGACTGTGCCTTGGCCAAAGTCCTGGTGGAACAGCTCTGTCTTGCAGGCCCTGCAGAAAGATGTCAAGTCCCTATCCTTAGGGTAGTGATAAAGCGGGATATCAAATCCAAACTCTTCTTCTTTTCTTGGCATGCTCGCACCTACCTTGGGCGCTGCTCTTCCACATGGGATTGCTCGTGGTGGCTCCACCTGAGCAAGATCCTCCATGACATGCAAGGCTCCATGCATTGCGCCCTGCCCTGGTCCGCCCTGCCCCAATCCCTGGCTCGCCCTGCCTCTGGACACAGGTCATGCGTGCCACACTGGGTGCCCAAGCGCCTAGCTCTGCCACTGCTGCCAAGAAGTGCATTAGTACATGACCAGAGACACCCTGGAAGGGATGCGGGTGGCGCTGTGGGTTAAACCACAGAGCTTAGGACTTGTCGATCAGAAGGTTGGCAGTTCGAATCCCTGCAACGGAGTGAGCTCCTGTTGCTCTGTCCCTGCTCCTGCCAACCTAGCAGTTCAAAAGCACGCCAAAGTGCAAGTAGATAAATAGGTACCACTCCAGTGGGAAGGTAAACGGCGTTTCCGTGTGCTGCTCTGTTTCGCCAGAAGCGGCTTTGTCATGCTGGCCACATGACCCGGAAGCTGTACGCCAGCTCCCTCAGCCAATAAAGTGAGATGAGCGCCGCAACCCCAGAGTCGGTCACGACTGGACCTAATGGTCAGGGGTCCCTTTACCTTTACCTTTAGAGACCCCCTAGATCGGACCAATGACTTGCATAGTCCAGCATCCTGTTCTCACAGTGGCCAACCAGAAACCTCAGTGCCAAACCCCGAAACAGGATCCAAAGAGGACTCTCCCCTCCTGCAGTTTCCAGCAGCTGGTATTCAGAAGCTGGTATTCAGAAGCACCGTGGAGACAGGGCAGAGCCACTGCGGCTCACAGTCACTGCAAGCTGTGAGTTTGAACACAGACTGGGAAGAGGCCACTTGAGATCAGGAACGAGACTCTCCCCCGCCCTTCTATCCTGCCCCCATTGCACTCCCCTTGCAGGGAGAGTTAATCTCATTGACCCAAATTCTCTTTTGTCAGCAAAAGGAAGGGCCTCCTCCGGAGACAAGGAGAGTGAGGAGAGAAAACCATGCGGATAATAAGGCTCCGACCGACAAAGCGTTTCAAAATGCCACGTGGAGGCGAGAGGAGGCAGGAGGTGCCCCCGCAAAGGGAGAAAAGGAAAGAAAGCAAATTCTAAAGCCCTGTGGCAGGTGGAGTGCGCCCTTTTGTCGGAAAGAAGGTCACTGTCTTCCAAAGAGGATGTTATCCAATTTCCCCCAACAAAACCAAGATATTTCAGCTGCTTGCGAATGGTGGAGAATCGCTAGATTCAATAGCCAAGCCAAGTGCATATGTGTGGTTTTGAGGATGCGCACACATAGGGCCAGTGTGGCGGTGTGATTGGAGCACAAATGCCCCACTCAGCCAGGAAGCTGGCTGGGTGATTTTGGGCCAGGCACTGCCTCTCTCAAGCTAACCTACTTCGTAGGATCATTGTTAGGTTGGAATGGAGAGGAGGAGAAGGCCATCTTGAGCACCTTCGACAATTTTGCCATCTAGGAAATTAATTTCAAAGAGTCTACTCTGAGTAAGACCAGCACTAAGTAGAGTGGTACCTCAGGTTACATACACTTCAGTTTACATACGTTTCAGGTTACAGACTCCGCTAACCCAGAAATAGTGCTTCAGGTTAAGAACTTTGCTTCAGGATGAGAACAGAAATCGTGCTCTGGCGGCGCGGCAGCAGCAGGAGGCCCCATTAGCTAAAGTGGTGCTTCAGGTTAAGAACAGTTTCAGGTTAAGAACGGACCTCCGGAACAAATTAAGTACTTAACCCGAGGTACCACTGTACTAGCCTCTAAGCCAGCCTTTCTCAACTTGTGGGTCTCCAGATGTTGTTGAACTACAACTCCCATCACCCCTAGCTAGCAAGGCCAGAGCTCAAGGATGATGGGAGTTGTAGTCCAACAACATCTGGGGACC